GTTTTGACCTGCTTAACTAGCAGTCTGAGCATGTAAGACTGTCACGGGGGGATCGTCAGAACACTGGTCGCCATACTCGAATATTCAGCTTAACATTCAGTGCGCCTCGATCTTGACAAAGCGTTACAGGAGCATCACTCTGCCCACCCTTTCCAGATGAGACCTGCTTTAGTGTGGAACATGTTCCAAACAGCGCACATGTCTGCTTCAGAGGTGGTGAGCGGAGCGAGTCCTTTGAGCTGGCACGCTGTATAGCTGGTAAAAAATGGCTATGAAACACCTTCGATCTCCCACAAACTCGAAGTGGAGAGGCGAACAACAGACGAGATGGTGGCTTGATAAGCCCATTCATGTTACCACTCGTGTCCGTCTCTCTGAGGTAAGCACTTCTTAAAAGAGATGTCTGAGGAGGTCGGGTTTGTAAAACATGTAGTCACTGTAAATGTACCAGTAACCGCCTGGTGAGGATTCGATTGTACAACTCCCAATTGTGGGTCTGCCCGACCGGCAAGAGAGGGTGATTGTACTATGACAGGGGTGGTCTACAAAATCACCTGTCGCAGCTGTGGGGACCAGTACATCGGCGAGACGGCTCGTCCGCTTTGCGTGAGGGTGAAAGAGCATCTGGATGGTAAGAACAGGTCACGAGTGTCTACTGCCGTGGAAATACTCAGAGTTCAGATCCACAATTGGGAAGATTTTGGAGTCGCGGTTGAGGTCTTGGCGCGAGAGGCACAAACCTCCGCGCGAAAAACCCTTGAGGCATTCTGGATCCAGGTCATCGATCCAAAGATGAACCGGAGGGAAGAATGCCTCACTATTACGCGGGAACTAAGGCCCTATATAAGGGTGGCCTTCCATGAGGTACTCTGAATACAGAGCAGTCCGACCCTGGTTCAGCAGCTAGCTTACTATGTCTCGAGGATCGCGCTGGACATGGAAGGGCAGTAAGTGCTCCTCCTCGTCCAAACTGTTTCACAGAAGAAATTCCAGAGTACTTTCTCATGCTTCCGGTACTTTTCGCTTGAACGTGGGAAGCATTGTGTTGCCGTCAGAGCAGGGCTCCCTAACAACATGCTGGGGCAAGTCTAACTAATCTACTTGCGACTTTTGAGACTGTATTATTTGGCTGGATAGCTTGACCAGGCAGACCGCTATATATTAGGTCGTTGCAAAAGAAATGCAGGATTTTGTTTTTTTTTGTATTTAATACTTATTTTATTCCAATAAAATGTAAGTGTTATATATCATTCGAAAGCTTATCTAATGCTCTTTCTAAATGATACTTCAAGATTGGTTGTAATTCTTTTTAGAGGCCACGAAATCGTTGAAGGCGTTTTTGGCATCGTCTTGGTTTTTGAAGCATTTCTCTTTAAGATAGTTGTCCAGATGCTTGAAAAAGTGGTAATCGGTGGGCGACAGGTCTGGTGAGTATGGTGGATGAGGCAGAGTTTCATAGCCCAATTCGTTTAACTTCTGGAGGGTCGATTGTGCGACGTGTGGTCGGGCATTGTCGTGGAGAAGAATAGGTCCCTTCATATTGACCAACCTTGGGCACATGCGTTGAAGCTTCTGATGCATTTCGTCGATTTGTTGACAGTACTTCTCTGCCGTAATTGTTTCACCAGGATTCAGGAAGCTGTGATGGATGAGACCGGCGGCAGACCACCAAACATGAGGTTCATCTTCAAGGCTGGTGTTGCCAGAACGAAACTTCTGGAACCAACGTTGGACCGTACATTCGTTGACACTTCCTTGACCCCAAACTTCGTTAATGTTTCGAGCTGTCTCGGCAGCGTTTCGGCCTAGCTTGAACTCATAGAAAAAAATAGTGCGAAATTCACGTTTTGACATCTGCAATAAAACGTCAATAAAAATGATAATAAAAAGAATTACAACCAATCTTGAAGTATCATTTAGAAAGAGCATTAGATAAGCTTTCGAATAATATATAACACTTCATATTAAAGTAACATTTTATTGGAATAAAATAAGTATTAAATACAAAAACAAAATCCTGCATTTCTTTTGCAACGACCTAATACAACGCCAAATTTTTTGTGAGTATTATAATGCTTCCTCATGAATTTGCAACCTCCCTCTTACGCAGGGACACCCCGATCATGCAATAGGCGCTCAGAAGCATGTTATTCACAGCAACGCGGTTTCCGTAGACCACGCCTTCACGAGCTTGATTTCTACTATGTAGCAGTGTGTGAACAAAAAATGCTGTTTGTTGAGCCCCATACAATCAGCATTTTCAGACCCTCAGATAATGCGAACCGGCAATTCCTAACGTCAGACAAGGCAGACTGGGAGGAGTATCTGCTAGTGCAACCAGATGACAGACCGATAACCTCGTAAGCTCAACTTGATGTATACTGTATCCAAGTCGAAGAGATCATTTTTTAGGCTTGTCGGTTTTGACAAGTCCAATCAGAACATGTACTGGGTGTGGAGTGACGAGCAGAGCGATCTCGGTATGTTCCTCTCCAACACAGTTACTTAGTAGTACAGCAGGCGAATATGGTTGCTATCAAGCACTTCGCCTCAGTATTAAGATAGATGTTCCACTAAATGAAGCCTGGAAGATGGTGGGAACCATATATAAGTCCACCCATGGGAATTAGAGCTGACAAAGGGCCTTTGAACTTGAGTTCGCCGAACTTGCGCCGCCCTCCTGAGCACCAGTAGGACGTGGCTCTAAAAAGTTGATATAGGGGGGGACGGGAACGTGAGATGAGGAGGCGTTAGCAGCCATCACTTTCGGTCTCCTCTATGAGTACTATTCCACCTCACAGTTAGACCACAATCTCGCCCGCCTAGGAAAAGCTGCTTCCAGATTCATAAAAGGTATTTTTATTCTCCAACAGCAGTGAGGCTTGAGTAGTGTAATATGAAGTGGATCTGCTAAACAAAGGCAACATCCGGATCGTTCTGGAACCTCACTTCATATTACACTATTTCGCTCGCACCGTCAAGTCATCCTTTCCATATGGGCCAGCAATCGGGTACAAGATGAATTTGTGAAAGTAGGAACACTGTGCTGGACTTGAGTGACCAATGAAAGTCACAACATGGTCGAAAATGCGTTCGAGAAGCGAATTAATAGAGATGATCTGCGTGGCGCATCCCAAAAATCGTTGGCCGTTGCCGAACACTTCTTTTCGCACTAGAAGACATACAAAAGCTCAGAAATTCCCAGAAAACTTGCAACTTATAAGTTCAGGGTTGTTTTCTACAGCAGTTGTTCAACGTAATGTTCTATGATCAGGCGCTGCCACACAGTGCAGTGCGGATCATTACTTGAGTCTTCAAAAAGCAAAACGCCAAGGGTGAAAGAATATTCAGGATCTTTGGTCATGTTTCCATTCGAAGCGGTTGATCGAAGGGAAGTGCTGTACTCAGCTAGACGTGCCGAAATTGACAAAAACCCTATAATTCATCCAACGGATAAGACGGTTCTGGCCGTCACTGAGGTTGGCGAAGAACTACAACAGACAGCATTCCTCAGAGATCGAACTCTTTAGATTTATCACAAACCGGAGCTAATCGTCGTCAACGACACTTTCAAGAATGATCTGCAGTATCTGCTCCAGTACGGTTACAATTCGGAGTATAAGTATGAGTTTAGGTTCGTGACCTTGTGTTTCTCACTGATTCTAGCGTGTTAATACTTCGAGTACAAGTTTGTCAGGCTCATGGTTCAGATACCTCAACATGGCTGGTTGAGTACCCCAATGAACTTCTATTGTACCAAAGTCGGACAAAAAAGGTATGGCAATCTGTGCTACCAGATCATTTTAACCGTACCGCGGCGTGTTCCCTCTAATCGACGCCTGTGGCCGACGTTTATCGCCGCGACTCGTGGCGCGCTGAGTATAAATAAATGTGGATTACATCGCATGCATATGACATGAAAACATTGTATATGGTAAACATTATACATTAAAGTTTGTACATAGCTATGATACATCACAATGAAAACTTAAATTATAAATGCCATTGCCGATAAAACGCTTGAGTTGACAAGAAGGCTGATAAATACAAGAAGAATGGCGAATTCGGCGCTATCTCTTTGAGAACTATCCACTCGTACTGTTTTGTAAATTTTCAGCTGTATCAGAAAAAGAGTTTCAGTTCTATTGGTATAGAAATAGATAAAAAAGTGAGGATCTGAAATTTTCCACAAAACATGTCAGTAACTCAGATCTGCTTTCCCATACATCTTTCTTTCCAGGAGACTTCGAGAATATACCCATATTTTGGATGATTGAAAGATAATAAAAAGGTCCACACGAGCGGGCTTCACTATGTGCATACGCGGCCATACAGAGTCAAACTTGTGTACTGCACATGGTGCAGCACGCGGTACGCAAGTGAGTTAGGACACATGTGACACATGCTGAGTATTTCAAAAACGGATAGTAGACCTCAGCGCTTAAGGATGGGAAACTAAATAATTTACATCTCAAAAAAACTTTTTGCTAGATGAGTCCTCTTCATTTGTAATAGTGGCTGAACGAAATGCATTTTTGTATCGTCTATTATTCTCCAATATTCATCGTCCAGTATGATTCGAGAGTTACTTGGCAGAATCTTTGAAATTCTACAATGTTCATGATAAGTGAAGAAGCAGAGGCACATGGAAAAGATATATCTCAAACGTGAAGCGCTAACAAGCGGTAGCATTAAGCAAGCTAATTAAGAGCAACTTACAATAGTTGAACCCTTTGAGCGATAGAGATGGTTGGATAATCAGTGAGAAAGAAGACGATAATCAATGATGGGAATTGCGACAGCAAAGCTAAAAGCAGGTTTCCGCATGATATGATTGTTGGAGGATTCATCCTTTCCTCAAAAGTATCTTCCGAAAGTTCATTCCACTTCCAGGCGGAGTTTTTGTTCAACGCTTATCCGGAGCTGAAGCATTATAATCTGAGTCGGCAAGTCGGCTTTGATTTCAAGGCAAGAGACGGTTTGATCCTTCAAGCGTACCTCAGTCTTCCACCTGAGGTGAGCTTCAGAAAGAATCGTCTTCCAATCGAGAAAATCAGTCTATAACATTTTCACAAAAACCTTGGATGTCAGGTGATTCGTTTTCAGGCTGCGCTCCGAAGTGCTCAGGATGTTCCAGCCTCAGATCGCAACTACGCCAACCTTGGATTGCTCCCTGTCGATCCTCAGAAACTTATCGTCCTTGTTCATGGTGGTCCGGAATGACAGAGATTTTTATGGATACTCGGAGAGAATGTATTCCTAACGAACAGAGGTTATGCGGTACTTCAGGTAAATTGCAGTTTCAACTGGATGCAGTTTAACTACCGATAATCAACCAAATTTTTATGAGGAGTTTCAGGTAAACTATCGTGGAAGCTATGGCTTCGGTAAACGCTTTGCAAACGCTGGCAATGGCGAATGGGCCAGAAAGATGCACCTCGACATATTGGATTCGGTCAAATTTGTTGTGGCAAAAGGGATTGCAAATAAATCTCAGGTTGCGGTTATGGGTAGGTTTGCAGCAGTTGATTTCTCCCCATTATTCGCAAGAACTATTCCCGAGGCAGCGGTTGCCGAGTGGTCAAGACGTCTGCACTCTGATGCTAGGGCAAAACAACAACGCCAGCTTCTAGCAACTATTGCAAACTTCTTTGCAATAGTTGCTAGAAAGCTGGCGACACCAAGGTCAGTTCCACGACGTTACTAAGGTCAGTCCTCAGTCATTGAGAAACCCGCCCGATGGAGAATTGCGTCACAGCGAGCCTCGCCACGACCAAAAGTATCACCGTAAAAATTTCGCTATGGCCTGGAAGTAGGCTGAACCCTCTTCCAAACTCTGTGGTCAGTATGCGAAAGCTAGCACCAAAAGGGTAGTTTGTTTTGGGACTCTGGACGTGGGATGGGAAAATCCTATTAGCTCGGTAAACTTATTGGAAAAAGGAGTCATCGATCTCTATGCTTTCACGAAATGGGTTAGAAGAAAGCAAGTGCCTACGAGGGATCAAACTCTGTTCAATGAAGGAGACCTCTAGTTGTCATAAGGGTCGGGAAGTGTTGCCAAAAGTGAATCTTTGCACTGGACACGATCAATGATCATCATGGGCGTCGGGGAGGAGCGATACTGGACGATAGTAGTGTGCCGGCTCAGTCCGCTCGCCGTAAGTTGAGAAGGATGAGTTCTATTAATACCTGGACGATGGCATAGGTTTAATTACGTAGAGTGTGAATACAGACGGTCTGAGTAGACCTGTACACAGCGACAAAGGGGTCCGGGAAAGGTGCACGGATATGGGGGACTGACGGCGAGTGACAAAGTGTTCTTGAGTCGCCTACACCTCACAGTCAGCGATCTGCAGCACTTTTTAATTGCAAAACGAAGAAGTCAACGGAGTTAAAGGCAATCGACAGCAGAGGGGACACAAGCAGAAATTGGGTTTGTGCGTGTGAAAAGGTTGTCGCTGAAAATCGGTAAAGTATCAGTGCACCACTTGGCGTGAGCCGAGTCCTGTGCACAGGCGGGACCTCACAGAATCTGCCGTTTAATGTATCGGTCTCCGAAGATAGGGACGTACGCTGAGCGAAGGCACCTGTGCTCTATCAAGGCTCAACCTAGGTGACAGAAGTCATTGTTGGGGTATAGCAAAGATCACCGCCGACTCGTTGGTCTTCATCCTAACATCAGATATCATGGTCATTGATAATTAAGTGGGAACCAACTTACACGCCCTTACAGCAGATAAGAGAAGAACTGCAGGACCAAGCTCAAAAGCGGCATGAAGGAAAAATGGCAGAGTCGAGCTCCGGATGGTATATTGAACCCATGCTAGACCGACACATAGAAAACATCGAAAGGATTGAAAACCTTCACTACAGGAAGCGATCTAGCGGCTGATGATGATGAGCCAGGCTTGAATAAATGTGGCACAGATGGAATCCACTCGTGTCTCCCCAGCGGTGCGATGTGGCACCTTACGATAGGGCGGGGGTTAGACCTGTGATGGCGGACCTCACCGAAGTGAGCGCCACTGCATCAGGTGCACTGCACTGCATCAAGTGCACTGCATATGGAGAATTAGCGATGTCTGACAATAACAGCAGACTCCACAGCGATACGTAATGGAAGACAGAAGCAAATGGAAGACTTGGGTGCTAGGCTCACATCTCTTAACTGTGGAGAGCGGCCACCTTTCTTCGGACTACAGCATGGATATGTATGATAGAGCACATTCAAAACGGACTAACTCTTAAAAAGTTGCAGCAAGTGCCACACTCGCAGAATTACGCGGCGTCGCGTAGTGGCTTTTTGCTACAAACTCTTATTCCTTGGATAGTAACTTCTACCAAAGCATTCCCGTGCAACGGTACGTGCCTTCTTTGTCAAATTTATGTTTCGAGACTCCTGTCATCTTTGGCTCCCGTTGGTTCATAAGACCTGGCATTCCCTATCCACTGAAAAGAGAAGTACGTAGTTATTAATTGTGCGCTGCGATGACTGCGATATCCCAAACGAAATAACGGCGGACACGAATGTGTTAATCGACCGTCATCGGGGTGCCCTGTCGCCTTCTGATAAGGACGGTATGTTAATCAGAGGCGGAGCCCACCATCAGCCATAACTATGTGAGCTCTGCTGTCTTGCTTTTTAGCACACTTTCTCGCAGCTTTATTGGGCCGATATCGACATACATTCTTTCTCTCTCGCTTGGCACAAGCGGGCCTTTTCAGAGCCTTTTCTGAAAAGTCTTGTCGGTTTCCTTTAGTTTTCTCCTACATCGGCATGTCAACTAGCAGATACCCTTATGTTTCTAATTCAGCTCTACCTACGAACTTTCCGTTTGGCTCATCGCCGTTGTTAGCTTGCCACTAATTAGGAACCATAAGAAAAAACTAAAAGTGGTAACAAATGTTGAAGGTGGAAGCTATGGTGGCTATGAAACACTGGTGCGCTCACGTTCACTCCGGAAGAGTTCGCCTGTGGTGTGGACATCGTTGGTATGTCGAACTTGGTCACGTGGGCAGAGACGGTCCCACCATACTGGCGCGGTGCACACAAAGAGCTTGTTCAAATGTTGGGAGGTGATATCGATGAGTGAGTCTTTCTTGTAAGTATAGGCTTCATATTTTGAAGTTGCCGCAGTTCGCGCTTGGAAAGGTAGCACAAGAATGCTGAGTTATGGGCAAAAGTCGTGCCCCAGGCGGGAGTCGAACCCGCACCTCACGCTTTCCGGGCGAGTGCGTAACGGATAGCGCACTCGCCCGGAAAGCGTGAGGTGCGGGTTCGACTCCCGCCTGGGGCACGACTTTTGCCCATACTCAGCATTCTTGTGGGACATAGGCGTTATAGTTTTATGGATATTTGAGTGTGTGAGTTTTGAATGTTTTCAGTGAGGCCGGCCGTCAAGTCGCTCATCGCTCGTTCGCCGCTGTTTTTAGCTGATCGCGTGAAGAAGCCCCTGCTGATTATCCAGGGAGCTAACGATCCTCGCGTGAATAAAGAAGAATCTGGTGAGCTCCTCCATGTTGTCGCTGTCGTATGGGCGCAGCTTGGATTCTGAAAATTTATTCGTTTATATTTGGGACTTACAAGGGAGGTCATTCAGGTCGTGACGGCTAATGTAATTGGGGATGCCAAAAAGGAGTGAAAAATTCTGACAAGGAAGGGGGATTTTAATCACCTTATTCAGTTCTGGATGTAGCGTTGACAGTGTATAGTGTATGAGGTGCTCTTTGAGCAGGCATGAAAATAACGCAAAATAAGGTAAAAATCCGAGTACTTTACTTGGCATGTGGTGAGCTACATTGGAGTTTCCTGGTCATCTCCGCATGTCTCTTCAGTGGGTCCTGCATCTCTCCGCTCGCAGTGGCAAATGGCCTGGTGGATAGCGCGACCGATCTCAACCGATGAGTTTGTGGATCTGATCCTCCTCGATATAAATCTTTGCATTTCTTAGATTTCTTCCTTCTTGTGTTCCTGTGTGCCCGATAATGTGTATGACCCGGATATACGCCATTTAAGGGCACATTCTATGCGGCCATTGTTCGCGAAGGGGCCCTACTCAAATATCACGCTCGCCACATACTATTGGAGAAACTTTCCTTACCGACATTTATTTTCAAATATGGCGCAATTTGTCTCCAATTTGCTGTGAAGGCTTTTTCACTGACCGTACTTTTCAAGTGTAGGTGAACGGCTACGCTTCCAAGGTCAGACATGCTATCAGTGGGGTACCCCAAGGAAGTGTCTTGTCGCCCATTTTTTATGTTTATACCTATGACTTACCAGCCTTGATAAATAACCTGGGTATCGGCATAAAAATGTTTGCGGATGACCTGAAAATTTATAGTACCGTGGGGAACCCCGCAGATCCTCAGCTTCAGAGAGCAATAGATGCTATCGTGGACTGGTCTAATGCCAACATGCTTCCTTTGAGTGCCGGTAAAACTAAGGTTCTTCATTTGGGAAGATCCAATCCAGTCACGCATTACTACATTAACCAAATGGCTCTTGATGAGGTCGAATCAGTAAGAGACTTGGGCTTTCTTGTGGATGCGAAATTGACTTTTGAAGAACACATAACTGACCTAATCAATAAGGCTAATCGAAGAGTATTTTTGCTTTTCAAATCGCTCAAGTCCAGGAACCCTATGTTGCTCATTAGGGCTTACAAAGTTTATGTGAGATCTATTCTAGAGTATGGCACATGTGTCTATTTCCCCCACAAAAAGAAGTTTATTGACAAATTGAAAAGGATTCAGCATAACTTTAGCATACAAAAGCATCCCACGGGGTCTAATCAGGAATAGGATTCTTAATTTGGATCCAATATACTTAAGACTACGGCGTAATGACTTACTTACGGTTTATAATATTTTGAATGGACTTGTTGACATAGACCGCAACTCCTTTTTTGAACTAGTATCTTCCAAAACTAGGGGGGAACGGTTCAAGCTTTCTTTTCGCCGGCCTCGTTCTCTGACAGGGCGCAAGTTCTTTACGTTTCGTGCGGGCACGGAGTACTCGAGGATGAGCAAGCAAATACGATTTTCTGTTTCTTTCTATAAATTCAAAAAGATGGTCATTCAATATCTTCGCGGTGTTAAATGCGTTGTCAAGGATTCAAATTGATAATTCTGTACTTGTTGTAAGCTTACATTGATTAGCATACAGGGGTAATTAATGGCCCTGATCACGATTCTGACAGTTATTTATGGCGCCAAGGTAATCTGGGGCCAGCGTGGCGCTAAATGGCCACTGCGAGCGGGAAGGGATGCTGCATAAACCACTAAAGAAACTTCAGTGTACCTCACTGTATGCCAAGTAAGGCACTTGAATTTTGACCTTATTTTAGTTGTTTCCATGTCTAGTTGAGGAACACCTCACAAACTATACACAGCTCTGCAGCTGAAACAGAGCCGAATAAGATGATTTAAATTTTTTAATTTTTTTAAACTTTTAAAATTTGCATACTCTGAGCAAATGGATTTTCTCCCTTTTTTGGCATTCCCAATACGTTCAGCAAAAATGAACCTACCTGTGTGGTCCATGCATGAAGCCCTACATCATGCAACAGACCGTCTCAAAAAGCTCGCCACATCCTGAACGACTTCCTTCATTAGCTATTCAGATCTCTTCGTGAACGTACTGCGAAAGAACAACATTCCTGTGACCTATTGTGCTTTATCCCGATGAAGGACACGGCGTTCGAAAGGTTTGTGGGCATGTATAGCAGGGAGGATTGTTACCAGACAATCGTGTCTCATCCCGTTATTTCCGTGCATTCCTGTCAAGTACTCTGTAAGCTTCTGTAAAACTTGGCGAGAAGATACTGGCTTCACTGGAGCGCCACGAATCGATCCTATCCTACTGTATATAAACGGCAACGTCTGTCTGTCTGTAATTCTGTCTGTCTGTCTGTCTGTCTGTCTGTCTGTCTGTCTGTCTGTCTGTCTGTCCGGAAATTCGGAATCACCTGAAGAGCCAGTTTGAGGGGCGGGTCAAGGGTGGGTTGGGTAGGGCATGGGCCAAGATGTACGGAACACACATGAACCGAGCTAAGCCCCGCCCGGGGCTTAGCTCGGTTCATGTGGTTCCGTACTTCTTGGCCCAGTTGTGGACTGATTTCAAAAACTCGTAATTCGGTTCTAGAAGAGCCCGGAGAGCGGAAAATGTGGGAAACGATAGGCAATCAGTTGGCGGACGAAATGAGGGAGTCACACCCGTGATGGGCGGGGCGTGCTATAGGTGGGCGGTGCTCGCTACAAAACTTTCAAAAATTCGTAATTCGGTTCTAGAAGATCCCGGAGAGCGGAAATTGTGGGAAACGATAGGCAATCAGTTGGCGGACGAAATGAGTGAGACACACCCATTCTGGGCGGGGCGTTCTATAGGTGGGCGGTGCTTGCTACGAAAATTTCAAAAATTCGTAGTTCGGTTTCAAAAGAGCTCGGAGAGTGGGAGAAGTGGCAAACGATAGGCAATCAGTTGGCGGACGAAATCAATGAAGCACATCCCTGATGATGGGCGGGCGTTCGCCGAAGTGAACGGTGCCGAGGACGAAAACCCTCAAAACGCATCCGAAAAACCCCAGGAAATGGGGAGTAAGGTGAAACTGAGCAATGGTTTGGCAGATGAAGTTAGTGAGGGATAACCGTAGGGAGTATACCAAATGGTTGGTACCGTCGGCAATAGTTTATTCTGCGATTCCTCATCACTAACTAAGGGGAGTGCCGCATAGAAAATTTTGATGACTGTCTTCTAGGGGGAGGGGGGGGAGCCGCCGATCCGACTGGAGTGCTTGACAGGTGATAACATGGTCTACAGTTTGCTGACAAGGTTGCCCTGTATTCACATGTGTAGAGTTCACAGATTGGTATGGTAAGCGTTACAGATGTGTCCCCTGCCTCTCGTTAGGTTACCAGCATCCAGGGATGTATTCAGACCGCGGAATTCGCCATGAGTGTGGACGCTGTTGGCTCTGAGCATTTAACGAGAACTGGGGGCAGAGAGATCGAGTGTAGAAAAGAGGAGCAGACGACAATGTGGCGAGAAAATATAATAACCGTGTAGTCCACACTCCCTGTAAAACGATGGTAAGACGGAACGATCAAGGTGGATTTTGCTGCGGTAGGCGGAACTCATGGTCGCTAGGGCGTAGCGCTCTTATCAAACACAGGACGTGGGGCATGCTGGGTGACTGCGGACCGCACCATCTTGCATAACAAAGTTTTTTTCCACGTAGAGTACGTAGGCGCTGTCTCTGAGCCACTTCAAGAAGAAGCAAAGAAGCAAATCGCATTCCGGGCAGGGCGAAGTGCTGCAGAGAAAAAATTTCAGAATCTCGTGCTCATGCCATCAACACAAGAATCAGAGAATGGAATCAATCTCCCATGGAACTGTTAATGGAGCACATAGGGTTTTGAATGAAGATCGTGACTAGTGACGTTAACGTTAAGAGTGGTGCGGGAGTCTCTGAAGCGGCACCATCTTCGAAAAATGAGCCGTGCTGGAATGCTCAGTATCCTATCCTTGTGAGCAGAGCTCATCCTGTCCGATCTTCCTTATGCATGTGGTTTTTTGTTATAACTTTGACGTTTTTATTTCGACTCGCCCATTACATTTCAATGCTCGATCGTCGTTTGGATCTGGTTCCAAATTCAGGTCAACAATGTGTTGGCGCAATATGGTTTCATCGAAAAGTTCTTGCATAAGTGCCTTGGTGGACGCTATGAACCTTACTGCCACGGACAATACAACTCCTCAGCAATTGTGAGGTTTTGAAGATTTACTGTAGAAGTCCTACTATTCAATCAATTTCATTAATATCTCCTCCACTCTAAATTGGACACTTCCTAAATAATGGACGCCTAATTAAAGTGAACGCTTCATCGTCACTGCACTTCTGATTAATGCGAAGGCTTCCAAGGTCGAATTGGGCACTCCTAAAATCTTTGAGCTAACAATTGTTTTATAACAGAGCAGCGTCGGAAGTAGTGGATACGTCCGTTTCTACGCTCCATATACCGGTGACAGTCTGAGCCGGGTGCCTCGTTTGAAAATGACTGGATGGGTATATAGAGGGAGAATGTTTTTTTGAAGCAGCTATTATCTTATGCTTTGGTCAAAGCCGTATTCGCAGTTGTCTCAGAAAGGTAATGTAGAGTTAGATGCGTTGTCGTTGCCACGTCTCTATTACTTTCTTCTCTCCAAATGCCTGCGAAAGTACAGTTTATTACACCGCATCAGGCAGGCCGTTTTAAGAGGGATGGACTGATTCTAACAGCGGCGTTTCCACATTTGATTATCTTCCTGAATCTAAACCTTCCTGTAACCGCAATTGTACGGCTACATAGAAACTGACCACTACCCGGTCACCACTGGTAGAGCAAGGTAGCCGAAGGCAGGGTCATCCTGCCCTCCTCACACCGCCTCTGACTGATTGCGATGTCACACACTTATATCGCGAGTGACACTGCCCAGTATGAATACTGAATCACGTCCGTACTTCACAAGTTGGTCGATGCGATCGCGCGCGGTCAGCGAAGGTTGCGCGAAGAG